TTAGGTTTAGGGGTTAATTTTAGGTTTAGGGTTTACAGCGTGCTTCTGTCTCCGCGCTGTTGTCGCCCTGTTGATGACGTCAGCAGCGCGGTTTAGTCGGGAGCGGTTTTGTCGGGCGTGGTTTTGTCAGTGAACCGGGAAGACTAGCCATGAGTGATGTGAAGACTGCCTAGCAAAGCAGGAAAATAATTTAGATTAGCCATACTTGGATGGCCAATCAAAGGCGGTTTTTGATAAAGAGAACTCTTCCGCATTATGTATAGGATTTGGCTGGATTAAAATTACTCTTAATCTCCAACAGTACATAGTGCAGGAAAAGAAACTACTTACCGAAGACTGAGCTCCCTCAGAACTAAATCTGTATGCTCCAGAACTGTTGTATGTCCCTATGGAACAGCGATAATCGGGAGACCATTGGCTACTGTGAGAATTGGAAAAGGTCACACTGCTTCCAGAAGTGATAGCACCATCCTCATAGTCGTCCTGGTCATAATCATAGTCTGCCTCAGGAGAAATGAGCTCTGCAGCATTAGGGGGTTGGCGGGAAACATTTTCTGGCATGCAGTATGTGGATTCCCCGCTCGAAGAGTTGTGAAGACTAAGCGAGTCGAGGATAGAAGGGATAATAAGGGTATTGTTGCCCGTGGCGGGACTAGCTGGAACAACGGTGTCATTCATGTACGGATCTTCTTCAGAAGAGTCGTCGCTTGTCCGAATGCCGCTCGTCCTTTGATCCGAGTGGCCATGCTCGCTTGGGTTAGGTGAATCCTTGAAAGCATCATCATCCGCTTCAAAGCCCTCGTCAACTTCCTCCTCGGGATAGGGCTGGCTGAAGTTAAAATTGGGTTTTTCAGCCTCTGTGACGTCACTAAGCTCTGTACAGAAACTGCCGTTCACGGAGAGGGTTCTCTCGATGTTCCGGACGCATTCATCGATTTCGTCAAAGTTGAGAGATTCCAGGAACTCTTGTGCGGCGCGGCAGGCTTCATCTTCCAGGCGTTTCAACTCTTCATCCCGGAGCTGCTGCAGCCTCTGCAGCGATGCTTCCGTCAACGTCAGTTCTTGCTGCTCCTTCATGCGCTGCAGGTCTTCAATTTCTTTTTCTAGGCGCAGGATCTCCTCCACCTGCTTGTTCTCTTTGTGACTCTCGAGGTCTTGCTTTAGTTCTTTCGGGGGTTTCGTAATAGCTGCAAGTGCTTCCTTAGCCTGCAGAAACAATGAGATTTGAGATTTGGGATTTAGTTTATTTGTATGCCGCCCTTCTCCGGGAGGGACTCAGGGC